TTACAGAGAAACTGTACAAGACAAAAATTGTTTATTTTCTTCTCTCTAAGGTTCTGAGAATTTTTTCAGAATTTTTTAATACCATATTTTCTCATGTTGGTAAAAATAAGAAAATGCAGTACTAAAAAGTTGATAAAAAATTCTGAAAAAATTCTTAGAGCTTTATGAAAAGAAAATAAATAATTTTTGTCTCTTACAGTTTTTCTGTAAAGTGATGATAGTATTTGAGTAAAAAATTATTGAAGATCAATTTTCGACAATTTTTAGTAATTAATATCTTGTTAACTATTGTGAAAATTGTAAAATAGAGGACTTTTCTTCTCAGTTTAGTCCATTCTGATCTTATGCGAAAGAGTTTTCATTATTTTCCAAACACCCTGTATATATAAATGAAAAATATTTTTCTGGTTTTGTCCTCTTATGTAATAAAATACTATGTCCTCCTAAATCGTACCTTGAGAATGGCGCCAAGTCCAGTTATTGTTATACCAACAAATTTCATCATAACTTTCAAGTTATGTCTAAGGATATAACACATATGCAAGCTCATCGTTGTATACGTAATCATCGCTACGAATACACAAATTGACCAGTAATATATAGATTTGCCGGATTTTGTGGGCATGTACCAACAACCACAGAGAGTGAGCAGAGTTTGAAGGAATTGTTGATACGTGCGATACGCTTTCAACTGTTTATGAATCATTTTAATACCTGCGTGTACAGGATGTCCCATTTTAATTTTCATGTTAAAATATTTCGAAAAATATAAAAAGTACGGAAAAAATTGGTGACAAATGTTGTATATTTTATAGGGAGACAGATAATGATAAAATCAATATTCGGAGAAGCATTATATTCGATTTTTCAAAGATCACACATAAAAATTACTACCATTTTTAAAAATGGAATTATGATTTTTGTACATAATGATTCCACTAATTATTCTACGTATACAAGTATCAAGATCAAGATAACGGAAAAAAATTAATAGATAGAGTAGTTTCTTTTTTATATCATATTGTGTAAAAAAATCATACAATTCTTTGAAAAATATATTTTTTCTAAAATTGATTAGGTACTGTTATTTGTCTCCCTTCATATACACAATTTTTGCCTGAAACATTTTTTGATATTTTTGAGATATTTGAATGTAAAATTAAAATAGAACACTTGTATAATTCAAAGAGACGGCTTTTAAATTAAAAAGACTCAATATTTTTTAAATGTCAGAGAAATTTAAATTTTGGAGTTGATTTAAGTTGATAGAGAAGTAATTTAATTTCCTTAATGGGAGATATTATCTTTGATTTCTATCTTCCTAATACTATATCTTCCCAATACTGTATTTTTATAATTTCCTGCAAATTTAATATTAATCAGAATAATATTAATTACAATTAAATGTTTCCGATAAAATTCGAAGTATAATCGGTGATTGGTCCAATAATATTAACATTTTAAAACTATGTTTATAAAAACTGGGACGAATGAGTTTTTCCATTTTATAACTAATAATAAGTCACACAGTAACGTTATTATGATTTTGTTACGACACTTATTGTTACGTAAAAATTTAGAATAATATATTTCAAACATCTAAAAGAAATTATCAATTTTCAAACATTGCCACATTATATATGTATATACAAAGCATGTCAGACTTTGTATAAAACGTCGTATTGAAATTTCCACTGTCGTAAGTGCGAGTTTCAAGAACAAGCTTTTCTGTTAGAAGACTTTGAACTGAGACATATCGCTGGAAATATCTGCCAATGTTACTGATACGATAGGTTTACAGCTAATGATACCAAGTCCGAGAAAGAGATTTTACCTTCTACCTTGCTGAGCCACATTCAAACTGTTATTGAACGATTGCAATTTGTATTAGCGTTTCTTTGAAGCCTATCTTTTCATTGACTATTATTCGCATTGTACGTATTATCTATCGAAGACTTGAAAAATTAATAGCTATTCTTGTAATCAATTTAATATGTCATTCGATGTAGAATTGTTTGAAATGGATCATAATTTAGGTTTGTTATGACTAGGGACAACCTATAGACATAAAGAAAATTGCACTTCAAAGAGAATGGCAAGACGGTTCGCGAGACCGCATGAGTTGCACAAAATGTATCGAGATTAGGGTTATTTCTTCTCATTTAACTTATTAAAGGTAGACAGATTTACGATTCTCTTTTCTTATACGAGATTAGAAAGACTATTTTATTGATCATAATATTATTGGTATACCGTGGTTAACTCGTGCACGACATCGGAAGAATATTGATACTTATATACAATCAGAGTCATAGTGAGGATATAAACAAGAGTCTGGATAATAAAGCTTTTCGTTCGTCACCTGCACGTATGCTTGTCGCTTATCTCTTTCGTATATATATGTATATTATTGATATATTTTTCTTGTACATTTTACAAAATTATTGCGCATGCAGTTTTATTAAACATATATATGCGCACATGCTGAATTGATCAATGACGTTCTACAATTTTCCATAAATTTATCTTCTTTACAACGATAGAGAGAGGTATTTACGATTATTTTTATTTCTGAGATAAAGAAGACTCTATACTGTCGATCGAAACATTGTCGTTGTCTCGTTGTTAGTAATATATGTATATGTATATTGATGCTAACAGCTTAGATAACTTGAGGATATAAGCAGATGTCTGTTTTAGTAAAGGGACCCCTCTCAGTCACCTGCGCTCGATAGTCACCTTTTCTCGTAAGTACATTTACGATATTGACATATTTTCTCTTTTCGTACTATCAGGTCAGTAATGCAATTTGAAAGCCTTTTATATGAAGTAACCAGTAAAGATATATAATACACTCTTGTTTCAATACAGATTAATTATTAACAGTATAATAAAAGTAATTAATAAATTACATTGATTGTGTGTGTTGTGTGTGTATTTTCTTAATTATATTCTTTTAATAAAGTAATTTTACAATTTGCCACCGATTACGAGACATATATACGTAAGATCCATCTATCCGTCTTTATCATCGATAGATTGCAATAGAAAAAAATAGAACATTATTATTCACGAACTATTAATGAAAGCGAAATAATTACCCAGACAGCACACAATATTTATAAAATATTTAACATGAAGTTTTATATTTAGAGTTACACGTCAGTAATAGAATTTTTTATCAAAATAAATCTGAGTGTGTTTTTTAAGGCATGCTGATTACGAATCTATTAATTAAGGTTCTTGAGTAGTCGTGGCGGCCATGTTGGAATCGTGACGTCATAGGCGAGAAATACATTAATTTATGCTGCAAGCCATTTGTAAATAAAGACAATTTGAATGAATCTAAATGACGAAATCGCTTTAAAACACTTGTAAAAATGGGCAGAAACTGTGCTTTCCTCCCTTGATAGCCAGTAAATGATCGTAAAAAGCATGTAAAGTGAGCCTGGCTGAATCCTCAATCTTCAATGCGTAGTCACGTAGTGTGATACGAGCATATGATCTTGAATCTTGAGCAACGTCTATGGATTCCGTCCTATATCTATAATTACTCTTCGCACTGCTGACACCTATCTCTTTTCTCTTTTCTAAGAAACCAGATGTCGCTCCTAATTTATAGTGAGAAAGTGCTAGGTGTCGTTCCTGGGTATCGATCATGAAACTTTTTTCCCTAGGGTGAAAAGTGAAAAGTGAAAATTTTCTCCATTAACTTCAATGGTAAAAATTTTCACTTTTTACCCATTCGTCGCGTTTTCACTCAAAACGAAAGAATCTGTAAGAAAAATGTGGCGATCGGCCTTGTGAACCGAGTTATTAAGCGTTAAAGTTCGAGACTACAGGTTAGGATATTTGTCATTCCGAAAATAATGAAAAAAAAATAAAAATAAATAAATAATGGAAATTGACAATAATGGACCCAATATTCATATAAAAATAATATATTTTATTACTTTTTAGCTTTTGATAAAGAACGATAATGGAAGTTCGTTCGTTTTGAGTGAAAACGCGACGAATGGATATATTTTTATTAAAATTTTAGGAGGGCAAGCTACTCTACTTTTTAGGAGACACGTATTTAATACACATATGTATGACACAGTCGCAAGTATACTGCACACATATAAATATTCAATATGGCGATGGAATGTTGCAAGTTATTCCGTTCGGCGGATATGGCAGTACACGGAACATTTTTCGGGACCATTTTCAATCTACACAGTTATATCTCCTTAGTCTTACTTCACGATCGCTACCCTGAGCTACATAAAAGTACTGTACACTTGTACTTTCTAGTAAAAAAGTTTATACCCTTTTATACCGAGCACTTAATATGCGTATTAACTAGTAACTTTCTATTAAATTATGGCTTATGCTTGATTTATGCTTCGGTCTCAACCCTAAAATTCCAAAATTCAGCCAATAGGGCTGCCAGTCTTAATTGATCCTAACTGAAATCTGTATTCCATTGGCTGAATTTTAGGATTTTAGGTTAAGACCGAAGCACAAACCAAAAACCAGGTATGAGCTTACATCGTGCACTTAATACGAGTACGAACTAGTAACTTTCTATTGAATTATCTTAATTTCGGCGATACGTGTAAAAATATACATGATATGTGTATTTAATTGATCATTTTGATGCATATTGTATCAATTCAGTATATCATTCTTTGAACACATCGCTGAAATTAAAATAATTTAATAGAAAGTTACTAGTTATTACCCGTAGAGTATCAAGTGCTCAATGTAAACTAGGCCTATGTTAATTTTAGCAATTTTAAAAAATAATGTACTAAAGTGGTACAATATGCATCAAAATGATTAATTAAATACATATATTATGTATATGTTTACACGTATCGCCAAAATTAAAAGAATTCAATAGAAAGTTACTAGTAATGCACCTATTGTGTTAGTCGCTAAGCACTCGCTATAGTCTGTGTTTCCGCTTGAGCGGTATTGACGGCTTGGGAGTTGAGACTTGGGACCGTGGCACGTTGGGAGTGTTTCTTTTTGCCTGTGGTACGCAATCATGGCGGTAGGCAAGAATAAAGGCCTTTCGAAAGGTGGTAAGAAGGGCGTGAAGAAGAAGATGTAAGTAAAATATTTTGTATCTCAATTGTAGCCGGATCTTTTATGTTCACAAAGAATTTCTCATCGAGTCACTATTTCGCGCGATGTCTTTGGTTATGTCGGATACTTGTGTGTCTGCTGACGCGTGTCTACTGCATTATTTCTTTTTAACTCGATATAATAACGTAAATGCATCTTATCTAGCTTTTAAATGCCTGTTTGCGTTGTTAGCATTGTTTTCATTCAACATCTTTGCTTTCTTTCTTTTCAACGCTTATTTTGTTTTAAGTATCAACATTTTTGGAGATTTTTCAAGCAACACCAATAATCTGATTGTCACATGCGTTAAAAATTGTAATGTTATAAGTTATCTAATGTGCGAGATTTTCACTCACACAAATCCTAACATAATCAACTTTGTGTATAAATTATTTAAGTTGATAAGAGTGATTCGAACTGTTGTATTTTCAAATTTTGGAGTATATAATCGTTTAATTATTTAGTATTAATCAAGTTATAGTTTCTTTTGATTGCCTGAACAAATGAGTTTATTTTTCTGTTTTTCACAGTCCTAGCGACATTGTGTTTTTAGAATTCTATGAATTCTTATATATGCTTAAAATATTTTAAGATTTTTCATTCTGTAATATTGGAAGAAAAACTTATAAAATTTGAATAAGTTTAAGATATTTTTAAAGAAATCTTTCTAAATAAAAATCTGAAGAATTCTCTCTCTTATTATAAAATATGATTTTTTTTCTACAGAAAGAATAATAGTCTTCCTAATGTTATACCTAGATAAGGCATTAATAATTATTAAAGTAGAAGTGACTTTTGTATCTTTTTGGCATTTCTACCTAGAAAAAAAACAATGTGACTAAAATATGTCTCTCTCGAAACCGTTCCATTTTTATCTGAAACATTTTTCTCTAAAATGCACTATTTAAAAGATATTTGAGATCGTTTCTAATGAAATATCCTGTATGTGTGTATATATATATATAAAATACTTGCCGGTGTAGATATATATGTATATTATACATATATATAAAAAATTATAAGAGAGGAAATTGTAAAATTTATTATTAATAAATCGTTTCTTGCATGTTTTCTCATATGAGTGCTATTATTTCAGTGTGGATCCTTTTACTCGCAAGGACTGGTATGATGTTAAAGCACCATCTATGTTTGCCAATCGGCAGGTTGGAAAAACCTTGGTTAACAGAACTCAAGGAACAAGTAAGATTTTTTTTCGTTAAGCTTTCTAATTAAAATTGAATATTTTTTTGTATGTAAATTCTATGTTGCATATAGTTTCATATCTCTTTAGTTTTCTTAATTATCTTGTATATACACATTTACTATCTATTGCAGCTGACTTTCATGCCAAGTGAATTATTTTGTAATAAGTGCAACAAAATTCGAATTAATTATAGTAAATATAAATATTTACTTGTTTACTTACAGAATACTTTTTATATCTTTCTATTTTTATTAAACCTAGTTATCATTTTATAAATATAAGTAATTGTATATATATTAATTATGATTAAGTTAATGACTGACATAGCATAAATTAAAAGTTTAATATTATTTATCAATACTCGTGGCTGTGAATTTGTTAATATTTGTTACAAGATATTTATTTCATTCTGCAGAGATCGCTTCGGAGGGATTGAAGTTCAGAGTATTTGAAGTGTCTCTGGCTGACTTACAAAGCGATCAAGATGCAGAGAGGTCCTTCCGAAAATTCAGACTGATTGCTGAAGATGTTCAAGGCCGTAACGTATTAACCAATTTCCATGGGATGGATTTGACAACGGATAAACTTAGATCAATGGTAAAAAAATGGCAAACTTTGATCGAAGCCAATGTGGATGTGAAGACCACGGACGGCTATCTGCTTCGAGTTTTCTGTATTGGTTTCACAAATAAAGATCAGCTGAGCACGAGGAAGACATGTTATGCCCAACATGCACAGGTTTGTATTCCAGTGAATTATTTGTCCCATGTTATATGCAATTCCATTATCCGTTTTAACTTTCTCAATAGTTGAATGGAATGAGGTATTGCATATATTATAATGCAGTCTCTTACCACACTACTTTCATTTTCAGTAAGTAGTGATATATGAACATGCTACATGATATGTCATATAGATTAAAGATTTTTTTTATTTAATTGGGGATATTTATAAATGTCTTCATTCACAGGATATTTTTTCTAGTTTCTGAAAGTATATACCTTTAGTTTTTCTGAGCATAGCTTCCATCAAAGTGAATCGAATATGCTTAAAGAATGTTAAAAAGGGGTTAATTTCTGTCTATGTAATAACATGAAATGTTAATCTGTAAATTTCAAGCTAGTCATGAATTAGTATTTTATTGATACTGTTAAAAACATTAATTTTTCATTTATTTGTTTTGTTAGAGGAGCCTTCTATTATTTTTTTATTTAACTTCTCATCTATGATATAATTTCTCTTTTGAGATACCAAAGGATTTGCAGATTATCGCCGTGTCATGATCCATTGCCAATGTTTCGTGAATCTTACCGTTCACTTCATCAGGACGAGAGGAAGTAATGAAGTGAACGGCAAAGTTCACGAAACGTTGACATTAGCAATGGATCATAACATGGTGATAACTCGCAAACCATTTTCCATCTCTGAAGAAAAATATCCATGAAAGCCTCAAAAGTATTATCAATTTCTCATCTATAATATATGACTCAATTTAGGTAAAGAAAATCAGACAGAAGATGGTTGAAACCATTACGGAAGATGTTACCAAAACTGACTTGAAAGGCGTGGTTAGTAAACTACTTCCGGATGCCACAGCGAAGGACATCGAGAAAGCCTCGCAGGGAATTTATCCTCTGCACGATGTTTATATTCGTAAGGTAAATAATAACAATATGGATACAATTGCAAAAATAAAATACAATTTTTTATAAATGTTAAGTGTCAACAGAAGAGACTATGTGATCTCTAAATTTCTGTGTTGTAAATGCAATTATCAAAATAATCGTCTGCAATCTGCTACAAAGCGATATTAGAAAAAAAGAGCAAAATAAAATTTTGTTTTGATATCTCATTCGATCTGCACTATAGTGTAGTTGAGGTATAGATAATCTTATTTATTATAAAATTTTAAGGACTAAATTGCAAAAGCTCTATTGCAGATTTTGCAATTTCGTAAAATATAAGCCAAAAATATCTCATGAGTGATTTCTACATGGTAGAGTACAGATACATATCTTTAAACTGTAAACAAGGTGTAGATAATAAGTTTAGAATTGATCCGTCACTCTTGTTGATTCTTAATAATATTAATAGAATGTTAAGAGTGCCAGTAAGAGCAAGAAGATATAATTTTATTAGGTAAAAGTATTGAAGAAACCACGCTTCGAGCTTAGCAAATTATTGGAGTTGCACGGAGATGGAGGTGGTAACAAGAGTGAGGAGGCCGGAGACAGTGGTTCTAAGATAGACAGACCGGAAGGTTATGAACCACCAGTACAAGAGTCTGTTTGAAGATGAGTGTTTTAAAATCTTTCGTAAAAATAAAAATCAGAAGATTGTGTAAATAACACCTTTATTCACATTTTTTTTTACCCGTATTTAGTTCACACACTGTAGTGTGTACCACAAGTTACCACTATATACTTAACCCCTATCGCATCATTGAGATTAAATGATAGAATTGATGAATGAATCGATAAACTTGATCGGTAAGAACAATCCTATTTAATTAAATTATAAATTCATTAATTCTTTTGTAATATACGTTATACTGCTCGAAAGCATCGTTCTAAAACTTTCACTCCAGGAAGCTAGTAGGTATATAATAAACACAAAGAAAAGTATCTTCGTGAATACATCCACCCAATACATACTGCAACCAAGAAAAGACATTAGATCAGTATGCAGAAAAAAGTGATTTTTCCTCATGCGATTTCAAACTTACACTCTCAAATGTCGACGAGCAGCGGGCAGCGTTTCTGGCATCTCTTTTAAGACGTAAATTCTAGCGGCTCGAATGCAATCTTCAAAGTATTCATCTATATCCAGGTCTTTGCCGTGCACTCGATAGTTTTTACATTCTACACTGTTAATCTTTTTCCGTATGTATTCAACGTGTTTGTTTTCGAAGTCCCATTGATTATTTGCATAATATTCAAAAACTTCAAATCCTTTGTTTATACGGCGTTGTATGTGACACATGCTGTGATACAAACAAGCATATATGAACAAAATGAACAAACTTGTATAAATACTCTTTATAGCTCTCGCGGCGACTTACATCGGTTTATATCCTGCCAGAAAAAGAAGTGCATCGATAATATAAGCCGGAATCATGTGAAAGAACAATATACAAATATTGTGCATTAATCGCGATTTTTTCAAGCTACCACCTGGATACCAGACAACTCCATTTAGAGGTATCTTTTCCGTTATCTTTCGGCCGCGTCTTATTATTTCTGCCCAGGTAATCTGTAGACAAAAATAAAAATCTCATTTCGATATTGTTAAAAAATGCATATAACAGACATTTATTATTTTCCGTTTACCTTAATCTCGGCGCTACTCGTCATATTAAAAACACGTTTTTCATAATCCTTAAAGTAAATAAAATTCCATGTGGCAAGGAGAAGACCATTGACAGCAATATCGACAGGTAGATAATCAGCATAACCGTTTTCATTACAGAACATCGTTCTGATTACTCCCTTGCCAGCGCCGATCAAAAGACCAGTAGGTCCATTGATGTTGTCTGTCCATCCGGGTATCGGTTCCTTCCAGATAGGAATAATTACGCTTGGTCTAACAAATGATAAAATTCGTGAGTTATCTCCGTGTCCAAATCCATTCTTAGATTGCATTCTAAGAATGGATTTGGATACGGAGATAACTCGCGGAACGCATAATTTCTATATAGAAAGTACCCGTGGAAGCCTTAAGAGTATTATCAAATAATAAAATTGTATGATTGAGTTATTTAATATTCATTATCTATGAATTTGAACGAGACCTCGTCGGTACCTCATAATTACTGATGGGATGTGTGGCATAGATTCTTCGATAAGACTCTCCGATAATGCTTTAGTGAAAGCGTAAGTATTAGGTAATTTCCCTAAGATTTTGTCCGTCATTGCCTCGACTACGTCATCGTCCATCCATTCGACGCATTTGATTACTTGATGAGGATCCGCAGGCGGAGGATACGTTTTCTCGCACAAAATCTATCAAAGTCGGTACTTATTTAGCATTTTCTGAGCATCCGGACATACATATTCAGAAACTACTCACCTGTTCTTCGAGATGGCAATAGGCCGTGCTGATATGAATAAACACAAGTAAATGCTTCATTTCTTTGGCTAGCTCTATCATCAGTTTCGTACCGCGTGTATTTAGTAGTACTGCTCTCTTCAACAGTTCATCGAACCTGCAAGAAGATTATGATCGAATATCATTAGTCATTCATTACTTTACGAAAGTTATATATAATCGACTTAATTGTAAAGCAACACTATCCTGGTGGAAAATTTTCTTAGAATTCCTCACATATAGTTTAAATTTAATTTCTACTTAAATTTTATAACTAGAAAATTTCTCAAATTTTTTATATCAATTAGAACACTTCGAAATTACGTTTATATTAATTGGGACACTTCAAATTTTCGAAAAAGTCTATATTTTTTCTAAAATTCTTTATGTATGTGAAATTTGAAATTCCAAATATATTTTAAGATTCTAAAACTTTCAAAGAAAATGTATAAAATACTGAAGAAATTAAAAATATTGTTTTAAAAATATCTTTATAAATATTAAAATATAAAAAATTCTTAAAATCGTTTTGAGATATAAGAATTTTTTTTATTAAGGATTCTTTGCATAATTTTTCAGAATTTCTATGAATTGTGTAACTTTTTAAAACATTTTTCAATTTATATTAAATAAAGTATCTTTTGAGGCCGTAATGTAAATAGATTCTAAAGTCATTTGCATTACCGACTAAATTATAATTTTTGTATAACAATTACTTTTTTCTTCTTACAGATTCGAAAATCTTTTTCCAGCATTAAAGTATACGCATTAATATGTGTTAATATATATGCATAAAAACTGTGATGTTCTTAAAAAATTTGGAAGTATTACAACCTGAATATTAAATATTAATAATTATTCAGACTCGATACACTTATAAGAAAAGATAATGCTCAATAAAACATTCCAATTAAAAAAATTAAAAGAGTAAAAATAAATTTATTCTAAATGAATGAATAAGAAATAGCAAATTAATATGAATGTTTCGACTTAAGGAGATGCAGAAGTGATCAAATTATCACATTACAGTTGTATAAAAATATTCGAATTGACTGAACGGAATAAAAAATGTTTTTACAGGATAAAGTAGACGCAAAATTAGGAGATGTTGCAATGGATTTTATACTAAAATCGAAAGAACGTTATAAAATTTTTTAACTTTTTTTTTTATTGTAGTACAAGGTCCACTGCACCACCTCCCTGTATATAAAGAGAATTTGGGTAAAATAATGAAATCGCTTTAAAACAATTGTAAAAATGAAAGAAAGTTAACCTTCCCTTCCTGACAGTCAGTAAATAGTAAAAGGCATACGAAATACGTTTATTAACGTTTTTATTTAATGCGCATGCGTAGCTTATTTTTACTTTACATATCTTTTACGACTTTTTACTGACTATCAGGGAAGGTATTTCCTAAACTTATAAAATTTGAAAAAGTTAAGAGATTTTCTTAGACGTCTTCATAAATTTAAAATATGAAGAATTTTTTAAAATATACGAATTTTTTTTATCAAGGTGATCTAAATGAGATTTTCCGAGATATTTTCATAATTTATACAGTCATGAAATTTATCAATCAGAATGTAAAGCAAAAAACAATAGGATTATGTACATAAATTTTTTAGTTAGAAATAGATTTTGAAAAGTGTTCGCTACAAATTTTATTTACCACGCAGAAAATGCCAGCGAAAATATAACAGAATCTGTTAACGGAATGAGACGATGGATTGACTGCAGAAATCTATCGAGCAGGATCTATCGTTTCGTAACCATTTAATGTGACATATTCCATTTAAATGATTACGAAATGACATATTTTCCTCGATTTCTACTATCAGATCATGTCTGCTGGCATAACAGAGGTAATATGGACCAATTTAGAGCAATATTTGACTCTGCAAATCGCTAAACATTTTACTTACTGAATATTTTTAAAATTGCATTTTTTTTTATTAAAGAAATAATAGTTTAAATACTTTAAATTTATAACGTAATCAAATCTAAAATTACTTCAGAATCGAATTAGAAGTAACGACATACTTTTTTTCATTATCAATACCTGACAGTAGCTGCTCCATGATACACGATGTTAACGTTCTCGATAAGTATCTTTCTGTCTTCCGGTGATAATCCAAGTCCCGGCGATGCCACATCTCCGCTAATGGCCGTTACTACTTTCTCAAGCACCGGCAATCCTCTTTGAGTTCTAACTTTCTCGAAGAGCTGTAATTTTAATTTAAAGTGAATCATTCATTACTCGCCAGTCGTTCGAAGGTCATACATAATCGTACATTGCAAGAACAAAGTAAAGTGAAGTAAATGCGATCCGAAGAGGTTATATATATAAAAAAGTCCTAGAGGATATAAGCCACATAGACCATTAACGTACTGTTACGTCACTACTGCGAAAAGATATAAGAATATAGCTATTCCTGACACGGATTTATGGTCCAATTCGTGGTTCATTCATTCAGGAACACAATTTCCATTAATGTTGTAACCAGTTGAGATAATTAATATAAAACAGGATTTCTTCTTCAAACGATAACGCGTAAGTTCAAGACTATACACGGAAAGAACGAGTTTGCTAAATTATCTAAAAATTTAGCTAGATACAGATCTGAAAATAATTTTGTTAAGCCATCAAAATAATTATATAAGATATTTAAGCTAGTTTGCTAAAATATTAAAATTTTTTACAGTATTGTTCATTATATTTGAGCGTCTTATATAATTATTTTGATGGTTTCTCTGAAACCATGAAATGGTGAAAATTTTTCTCAGAATTTTTATACGAATTGAAACATTTTTCAGAAAAATACTCAGAAAATATTCAGAAAATTTACATTTTCTCTCAGAATTTTTCATACAAGTGAATTCTGAAATTTCTCATCTCTTAATTTTTAAAAAATATTTATATTTTTTTAGATTTTATAACATTTCATCAGAAATTATACTTACAAAAAATCTTAGAAATATATATTATCTCTCTCTCTTATGATATTTCATAATTAACATATTATATTATATTAACATATAATATATATGAAAAATTCTGAAAAAAGATGTGAATTTTCTGAGAAGTGTTCCAATTCGTATAAAAAAATGTGAGAAAGTTATAAAATTATATAGAAATTCTGACAAATTATATAGAAATTCTGAAAAATTATATGAAAATTTCTGAGAAAAATTTTCACCAGGGTTAACAAAATTATTTTTAGATCTGTATCTAGCTAAATTATTAAATATACTAGCAAAACTA